TGGCTCAAGTTGTCTGCTCCAGCTGAGCAGGGAGGCATGCTCTTGCATCCCCCTACTTCTGGCCAAGGGCCACTGCAGGCATGTGGCTACATTTCCAGAATGAAAAATGAGCATTTCACTTGCTTAATCAGTTCTATCTACACAGCTTAGACTATCCTGTGAAGATTGAAATGATTCAGCTTTGGGCTTATTGCCTGTCTGTACTTAGCCTAAAAGAGCAAGCTACCTGGTCTAGATATCTTGTCTCTACAGAATTGCCAGCCAGAGAAAGAAAGAAATATAAACATTTATCTTGTTCTTTCCCACAGCAGTACAGGTTACTGAATATTCAATAGACATTGTATTTCATATTTTCAAACACCTTCCTTACAAGCTCTTCCAGCACAGTTGTCAAGGAGGCTTACTTTTATTATACAATATTATTTAGGCCACTTACAGAGATTAGTTTTCTACTGGGAGAATTACCATGCAGACATTCAAGCTTTTTCTCCTGGATCAAAAATGGCCACTCCAAGAGAAAAATAACCTGGTAAAAATAACTTCTGGGAAAGTTTTCCCCAAGACACTGAGGCCAGGTACAAACATCAATTACATTATAAGTGATTGGAAACTAGTCTGTACACATAACAGAACAGAAGTTCAGCACACATAAATTGGTTAAAAATGTCGGAACCTGGTCTAAGATTTGTCCTCCCCCACCTCCCACCACCAAAGGTGAATGTTCGCTACTGATCTAAACTACACTACTTACAGAAAACCAAGTCACTGAGATCAATTCTGGCTCAGGATTTTTTAATGTCTGTACCTAATCTGAATATCTGCTTTCACTGAGCCTTGTCCCCTTGCTCTCCTGCTACTCAGCTGAGCAACTTGGGGCAGGGACTGGAGGAGACAAGGGGAAGCCAGCAGGACCAAGAATTGGGTTCAGGGAGACTCTGCCCAGGGTAGCAGGGCAAACTCCTTGCCTGCTTCTCACATCAGAGTTCCAGGTGTCTGTAGTGGGCAGGGACTTTGCTGGAGCTTAGTGGAGGGAGCAGTGCTGCAAGCCTCCCACCTGGCTATCACACCAGAGTCTCTGGATGAAAAACTGGCAGGGGTATTTGCCCTGCTGCTCCAGTTCCCTAGGAATGGGAAGACCAGAATAACCCATGGGATCACCCCAGTCTGGAGAAGAGATGAGGATTAGGAGAGAGAGTGGTTGCAGATTGAACATCTCTACTGCTCCCTCTCCCAGAATCATTTCTAGTGGAAATTTTCCCGTGTGGATTTGGTGCCTATGTGAATTTGGCTCTTAGTCTTCTTGTGCCTCCATTCCTCTCCTTTATTGCAGCGAAAATAACACTTCCCTACCTTACTAGGGTCATTTTGATACTAAGTAAATTAAAGATCCTAAAGTGTTAAGATACCATGGGTGCCATGTAAGTACTTTAAATAAGCATCTAATGTTTATGTTCTCCTAACAGCCATTGGGAGTTTTGTTACCAAATGAACTTCCAGAAGCAGTCCACCCTACTTGCATCCAGAAGGGAAACTGGGCTACAGGAACTAATTATTTCACTTTGCTAATTACTGGATCCCCATTAATGTATGTCTTTAAGTATAAATACTATGATTATTTGTTTAGTCCTTCCAAAAGTCTGCAGTTCTGCTTCTGTCACAAAGTGGAGCACCTGTTAACTTTCAAGTAGATATCCCTCTTTCCTAATCCTTCTGGACTTTAGCAAGGCCTTTGACAGCATCTCTCACCCCATCCTAGTTGAAAAACGAGGCGACTGTGGCATAGATGCCTACACAGTCAGAT